TATATATATATATATATATATATATATATATATATATATATATATATATATATTCTATGTTTTGAAAGTTTAAATATCCGTATTTAAAGATTGAAACAATCAGAATGTCCAGGAGTTAATATTTTGGTATTTTCGTGGTATTATCGAAGTATTATCGTGGTATTATCGTGAATAATGTGAATATCGGCTCGACCAGTGGGAACAGCACTTGTGGAGAAGCACGTGGAGAGATAGCATATATGAGAGATAGTAAAAAGAAAGAAAGCAAAGAGCGTAAATAATAAACTCGGCTCCCTCAGGCCTCTGTCGCGAGAAAATTATGTGACGGGGAATTATGTGGCTCGTTGACGCGTGAAAGCGAAAGTATAAAGTGCGAATGAGACGGCGGATGAGACGCGGGCGTATGCGTCGTTGGAGATATCTAACGCCCAAGTTGATTAGATTAATTAATCGCTCGTTATCGCGATCGTATCGTTTCGTGTGAACTACAGACTAATTACACGCTACGATGACATCGAGACATTTTTCGAGAAGCGTGATAACGAATTGTTAAAAAAGAGCATCATCTCTGTGCGAATTATAATTTCAAAGTAGCTCGACTATTACACACTCGCAGAGCTACTGTCGGATTTCGCGATGAGAACGCATACCGGACGCGCTTAATTCAACGTCGTTTCTAGTTCTGCGCGTTCGCTGTGTTCCGCGTAAGCTCTTATCTCCCATCATAACACGACAGCTTAACCCCTTAATTACATCGTGGGACTTTAATTACATTTCGCGCTTCACGGTACGGACGCACGCGAGATCGATCGCGAAGGAAACATTGCGCTATACAGCCAGACGTTAAGATATACACTAGGATAAATGCCTTTATACTTTCAGTATCTAGAGAATTGGACTTTTTCGATTTGGCGCATCGTTTCTCAATAAGCGCGAATCGTGATTGTTAGTTACTGAAAAAACCAACAAACGATTACTAACAGTTACGATTCACGCTTACTGAGAAACGATGCGTCAGGTCGAAAAAATCCAATTCTCTAGATACCGGAAGTGTAAAGGCATTTATGAATCCTAGTATACCCTCAATGCGGCTCACGCAGCACAGTCGGACATCTGTATGCCGGATAAATAGCGAAATACGCGACAATAAGAGAGTTAATAATCATTAAATTTTATAGCATTTTCTCTTTTCTTTCCACGGCGATATTCAGCGCAGATTTCGAAATATCCAAAACGTGACTCGCCGTTCTCCGACCACGACCTTCAGATTGAGAAATTTATGATATATCTTTCTGCAGGACTACTGGTATGTTAACGTTCGTTTCCAAACGTTATTTCCGTTTTCGTAAATCATCCTTTCGTAGCAGACGACACACAGGGTGTCGGAGAATTGTTGACACATCTGTTATATACAGATAAATCTTATCAAACTCATCGAACGCAAAATTCCTCCACCGTTTCGCAAACAACCATGTAAAAAATTTTAGTTATTAATAAAAAAAATGTTATCAATCAAAGTCAAGAGTTATCAATCAAAGTAGACTGGTAAATAATCACACGCGACACGGTAGATAAGTTATTAATAAACGATATCTGTCGCCACGTGCGCTTACACATTAGGTCATACCGAATAAAAAAGTCCTCTACCATATTGCGAATCACCACGTAAATTTTTAGTTATTGATTGGAAAAAATTGGTGGAATTTTGCGCAATAATGCCTTCTTTAATTAATAACAAAAATCTACGTAATTATTTACAAAATGGCATAGAACTTTTTTGTTCATTTTCAACTACACTAAGAGAAATTACCCGATAAAAAATTAACAAACGAATATTTCCGACCAATTTTTACATCCAATCAGAATATCCAATTAAATGAATACTTCTGATTATAATAATATAATAATAATATGTAATAATATTATAATAATATAATAATATATAATATAATGGAATTTCATTAGATAAATCGATCAAAAAATTATGAACCGATATTTCTTATCGGATGTTTTCTGATCGGATACAAAAATTCATCGATATTTTGATCGGAAATATCTGTTTGTTAATTTTTTATCGTATAAGTTTTTTCAATGTAATATACAAATATACGACAGCAGACGTCATCGCAGCTCATCTACCATATCGCACGTAATCATTCACTAATTCTCGTTGATTGATAACTTAAAATATTATGTGGTTATTTATATGAAATGATAGAGAAATTTTGTTTTCAGTTTGATAAATTCTACACTTAGAAAAAAAGTTTTATTAATTTTTAATAACAAAATACCGGTGCCTGCAACAAATGATTTGTCGATATGTGACAACAAATGATTCCATAGTGAAAACAAATGATTTATTAAAAATTTGCTGTTCTAAGCAACGCTTTTGTAACTGAAGATATAACTTAGACAAAAGTTAATACAATTTATATCGTAGGCAATGTGTACTTGCTAAAATGACAAATGACGAGAAATATGATTCGAAACGTTTGATCTGTTTCTTTAACACGTCACTAAACAATAAACATGTTTTTGTTCTGATATAATCGAGGAATTTTTTTTGGTATACTTACTAGACAATGGGTGTGTCAATAATTGTTCGACATCCTGTACATACCTGTCGTGAAAAGTGAGGAAAAACGAAGTGTGCTCGACGTGAAGCTCGAAATTCGGAACGATCAAACTTTTATCGAAAGGACTGTCGGCGTTCTGTCCGGAATACGTCACCCGAGTAAAACTTTCCCGTCGGCAGATACGTCACGCGAACGAGCAAATGCGACTAACGACTAATCCAATAATAATAAGACGTTACCCTCTTTGTGAACCGCCAGATATCCGTCATCGAAAACTTTATCTGATTCTCCGCGAGATCCGTGTGTTGCAACGTGACCCATATCTATGCGATTCGGTGTCCGCGATAAGTAGCCAAGACGATTGTGATCGCAGCGTTCGCCACGTGAAACTGCCACGGAGAGATCGGCGGAGCAGGAAAACCCCGAAATGCTCTCGTCGTCCCTCGCTAATGACACGTCGCTAATGACAACACCGCTGCCGTGTGTACACAGCTGAGAAATTCGGAACGTACGTTGAACTTTCCCGACCAAATGCGTCTTTCGTCTTGCGGGAAGACCGCAATTTCGTATTGAATATAGTATGTTACGTAGAGCTCGATCAATGCGTGATCTAAAAGAAGTCAAACGCTCTTCCACACACAAGATAAAAGTGCGCATGCATGGACACGTAGTCCTGGTCGTTCTTATTGTTTTGGTCTTTAAATGTGAACATTTAACTAAACTTTCAATATAGAATATACATGTATGCAGGTGAACCATCTACGTAAGATCTTCTATATCTCTTCTATATTTCTGTTGTTTGTTGTATTAGAGAAAAATGTATAAGCATAAATACTTCCAAGTCTTCCAATCACACAATTTATTCCTTACACATTTTTCTCTAATACAGAAAACAACAGAGATATTTTAGAATCTCACGACTTACTTCTTGTACATTCAATTTATGTACATCTATTCTGTGTTGAAAACTTAAATATTCGTATTTAAAGGCATCGGGTCGTTTCTTTCTGATGAAGCGAACTGAAATATTCACAAAATGTCGGAATCAGAGAAAGAAAAGTTCACGCGACTCAAACTCGAAAACCAAATCTAATATTCGTATTTAAAGATCAAGACAATAAGAACGTCCAGCATCAGGTACGTGTCCAGGCATTAGTATTTTTACCTAAAGGAGTTTATTCACCAAATATATAGTTTCAGAGCGCCCAAGAAGCCATATTTTCAATGGCACATCAAGGAAGTTTTTTTCTATATTTATCTTACTATTTAAATAATAAATGTTAGTTCAAAATTTCATGATACCTTAACATGTTTTACTCAGAAGAAGTACAATTAAAAATCACAAAACAATAGTTTTCAAATCATAAAATAGCAGTTTTCTGACTTACAATCTATTATTATACAAAAACGGTGCAGCGAATACTATTCTCTTCCTTGCCGCGTTTCCTAATATGTAATATTTGTAATGATAAATTTTATATTTGAGTAGCATCACTCTTTTTACGAAGTTACACTGCAATAATGATTACCTGCATTGCTCCTATCACTAATAATATATGTGCAAAAAATTGCGACATTCAGTATTAAATTTCTCGCGAATGGTACAAAAACAAATCACATGAGATTTTAACTCTTGGTGCTTTTTACTGCGATAAATGTGAAATTTTGATAACACAAAATCTTGGCATAATTTAGAGAATTTTATTTTAAGTGAATAAACTCCTGAATTCGAGCGCGGTATTCTCGCGATACGAGCGATTGTAATTGAAGTGGAAAATATCGACACGACACATATCGCAGCTCTCTAAAAACAAAGTTGCAAAGGTCAAAGAACATACGCATGCGACGTTCCAATTATGTTTTTCCAGTACAGATATCTCCCCCAAGCTGTTATTAATTGCACGCACAAAACGCGAGGGACATTTAATTAAAGCCCGCTCTCGTTATACATGCAATAATTGTGAGGGTCAATTTTACAAGTGGATTAATGGCGTTGCAGTTTGTTAGTTGTTCCTTCGAACGCAACGTGCATCTCGATTTGTCCCTTCCAACAGTGCAATCAGTCGAAATTAGTCAAATGCGACATATTCGGCGACAGAAGTGCGAAATGCGCACGGTGGTGGTATTTTGCGCGGCGCGATCGTTTCAATTGGCGAACGTGATTTTGCGAGAGATTAGTATAATTGTTACAAAAAATACGCCGCGATGTAGCAATTGCCGGCTGTAGTAGATAGTATAGTATAATACGCTCGCGATTTCAGAACGACCGCATGTAACAGGGATTTCGCGAGGTAAATACGCAGACAGCAATCGCGCGCGAAAATCGATAACCCATTGCCGGAAAGAGACGATAATTTTATTGTGAAACTCGTCTTATCTCTCGTATGTAGCTATTTAAATATCAGATAATAACACACACACACACACACACACACACACACACACACACACACACACACACACACACATAGACACGCGCGCGCTTTATCGAAAAAGTACGCGTAAACATGTAATTTGCGGAATCAAATAGAAACTCCAATCAGTATTAATCAGATTTTAAACTACATATTAGCAAATACTACGAATGCTACTTATCCGAGATAGATACACAGAGAGAACGATTTGGTTGAATGAAATAAACACTTCTTTAGAATAGTCCAAACGAATTTTTTGATTGATCGAACAAAATTTTATTTGACGCAACAAAAATATTAATTTGCGGCTTAGTTCAAAAGAAATATTTTTGTTGTGTCAACCAAAAAATTTATTTGGACTATACCAAAGAAACATTTATTTGATTCAACAAATCGTTCTCTCTGTGTAGAGATAGAAAGAGACAAAGACAAATATGAAAACAAGCAAAAAGCCTCTTTTGACTAGTCGAAATAAATAGACCGGATATGATCCGAATTCGCAACGACACACTTTCGAATTGTTCGTTATAATTTGAATACTCGTTTGGTGAGTCTGTCAACGATCAATTAACGATTGGTGGAGTACGTATTGCGTCATTATCGATCTCCGCCGTGTATGCTGCTGATTCAATCTGGCTCGCCATCAACTTTTCAAGCGCGTCTTATTGATTCGCGTGGCGAAATTATTCGCCGGAGCTCGAGGGAAAACTATGTCGCCGTGAGAATGACTCGCGAAGGTCGTCGTGTCGCAGAAGATTAGTCGAGACGCTGCTGCGAGGATTAGTTGAGAGGCATTAGTGGCATTAGAAAGAAGAAAGAGAAAGAAAGAGAGAGAGAGAGAGAAAGAGAGAGCATGTTGCGGAGCAAAACGATACCTTTTACACGTACGAGTCGCTTTCTTCGAGATCCCTTGAGCGACCTGTAGCCGGATACGGCGAGGCAATCTCCCGCCGCCGTCGAAGAACCGCCGTCATCGGCTGGCACTTTGCGCAGCTTCACCTGATCGGGGCGTTTTCATCGCGTTAGGGCCATGGCACACACAAAAATTTAAGCAGTAAAAAATAAGCAGTAAGCAAACTGATCAATCACAGTTGCTGATTCTTGGACCGTAAGAGAAATCATCGACTGTGATTGGTCGATTTGCTTACTGCTTACGTTTTGCTGCTTAAGTTTTTCTGTGTGTCCGGGCCCTTACAAGTCGCTCTCGCAATGGCATTGTAATACAAATCTACGAACGAGAGCGCGCGCCAAAATGTACGTTTCGCTTCGAACGCGCGGGAAGGAAGTTCTCGTGTTTTTACGCCAGACAAAGGTAAATCGCTTCCCAGAAAGGAAATAATGGATGCCAGTGTGACTCACGTTCCACACGACTTCTATTTATTTACACGCGACATCGATGCTATCGAATCGTACTCGAGGTACAAATGAAAGGGATTCGCCAACGCGACACCGCACAATGGGGACAAATGAAAATTTACTGTTCAAAAATCGCTACAGACCATAACTCCTAACCGATTAAGACGAATTTTTTTTTTTTTTAATTAATCGTTGATAAATTAAAAAAAAATGCAGCTCGATTTTTAAAAAAAGTCCCTGAAATTTGCAATATTATTAACAATCGGGAAATCATGACACTAAGTTTGCATTCAGTGACTTACAAAATCCTAGTGCGGCCTTATTTCTTCTAAGAAAGATGCATTTTCTTACAGTTGACATGAATATTGATAGCTGGCAACCATCAAATCCTAATCCTTACATGGAATTTGTATTTGTCAGCAACCAAAATCATCCAAAATTCTTAATGTGGCAATATTAATAACAATCTGGAAATTAATGTTAATCAAAAATTGAATTAGAAGAATATTATTTTTAAAGTTGTGCCTTTGTATTAAAATATTTTACATAAGGGTTTTTAGAGTAGTTGAATACGAATCTGATGTTAGAATTAAGATTTGACTATTGATAGCTGTCAATCTCGTTGTCAACTTAAAAAATGCATACTTTTTAGCGGAAATAAGATCATATTAGGGATTTTGGAAGTTACTGAATACAAGTTCCAAAATAAGAAATAGGATTTGATGGTTGATAGCTATCAATATTGTTGTCAACTATAATAAAATGCATGTTTCTTAGCAGAAATAGAGTTTTGCAGATCGCTAATGAATATGAATTTACGATTTCTAGATATTTATTAATATTGTAAATTCCAGAATGCCTTTTTTAAAAATCGAGTTCTACAGTGTTTTTTTAATTTATTGCCCATTAATTTGAAAAAAGATTCGTTTCGATAGGTTAAAAATAACGGAAGATTTTTTAACAGTAAATTTTCATTTGTTCCTCACTGTACGCTAGTCGCAAACATTTTTCAGAAGGATTATCGCTCGACTTACGAGAACTATATTTATAAGGCGGATGTTTCACGTATATTGTTGATATTCGAAAAAAACGAAAGTTCGTTTTAACGACGGACCGATTAAAAACATTATCCAGGCCGATTATCGCGTTGATATGCAGATGAGACGCATGTAATATTTTATGAGGTCCGACGAGGAAAAACACGAGCCGGCAACGCGGAGTGCAGAGTATTTGAGCGCATTACCTAAAATATTCGGATCCGCGATAACAACGATTAGCGATGCATACTCGACAAACCTGCATAATTCTTCCTTTTTTTTTTATTTCGTGAACTTTTGTGAATCACCATTCAAGGTGCATAAAATTGCGATTTTACACGTATGGACGAGACAGGATATCTCCGCGGACTCGCGACGTCAACGAAAAGGGAAGCTTCCGGAATGCGACGTCAATATTTCGCGTGACTGCCGATTCTTCGATCGGCGATTCTCGAATCACCGGAGATTCGAGTCACGGGAGATCGTCCGGTGCACCTTTAATTCGCGAGATTCATTCGTCGGGGGCGCGCGGTTTCTCCAAAGCTAGCAGAATCAAATCAGCAGATCAAACTGGATCCACTACATGATTTAATTTTGTGCTAATTTGTACAAAAAAAATGTGTACCTTGTTCGAAAAAAATTAATGATACTGCTAGCTTAATGTTAACCTAGCAGGAGAAAAAAGAAAAACAAGTACGTAAATATAGAAAGGCCCGAATTTGTACCAAAAAATTTGGCACCAAAAAATTTTTAATTTACATTCATTCTTATTGAAGCAACTCCCAATTGATTCTACTCTTATTAATCTTAAGAGTAAAGTATCTTTTTGTACCACCAGAATCAGCAGACACTCTTACAGCAGAAACGTAATTTATAACACACGAATACGAAATTTCAGATTTTGTCATTCCTTCGAAAATCACCCCCAATCCTTGTTGGCCTCAAAAGTATCTTTCGTTGCCAACAGAAATAATCCATAACTCTCACAGCAGTGACATGGTAATTTGTACCACTCGAATACGAAATCTCAGATTTTGTATTTTAGTCATTCTTTCGAAAATCACAGGCAATCCCTATTTATCCCAAGAATAAAATACTTTATATAATATAATATGGATAGAATTAATCGAGCGTTCCTTCAACAAAAATAAATGCAAAATTGAAAGTTTTGGTAGTACACTATTCAATTCGAGCCTTTCCATTTGTACGATTGTTTTTTTCTTGGTATAGTCCTGCTGGCTCAATATTAAGCTAGCAGCGTTACTGTTTGTCCCAAAACGGCATGAGGTACAAAATTCTTTTTGTACGAATTAGTGCAAAATGGATACTAAATAATGTAGTAGGTCCGATTTGATTTTACTGATTTGTTTCTGCTAACTTTAAAGAGGTCGCGGGCGGCATTCCCGCAAACTGCACAACCGTCATCTAACCTTGAAGGATAATACCCAGTCGTAACGGCGCACGTCGAGCGAATACATACGGCAAAATACATACGTCGAGGTTGCTTTATATTCATTCATGATTCATGCACCCACACGTAGCGGCCGATGCGCATGATAAAACTGTTTACATTGTCAGAGCTCGGAGCACCGTGGTGCCGAATGACAAAAGAGGAAAAGAACAGAGTTGAACCGCACGAACGAATGAGATAAATACGTGCGGCACTGCCGCATTCTGCCGAGGTGCGCTAATCACGTTGTCCCGGAAGACAACGAACGATAAGTACGATGACACGCGACAATTTCGCTCCCTAAAGTACAATCGGTGTACTCCTCGCACGGGAAGAAACGGTATGGTTGGCCACACATAAATCCAGACTCAACAGCAAAATACGGAACAGCTAATTGTGATCCTACTTTCAACCTTATTATGTGTGGTTGTTGCAACCACAAAGCGATTGCTGAGCTACAGCGACGACATCTGGTTGTTCCAAGCAGAGCGTATCCATGATAAATGTCAACCCAATCGATTTCTGATTGTTACAACCAGGGACTCAACTATGAATCCTTTTCCCTGGTGTGAACTTGTGAAAAGTGAAAAATCTAATCTTGAAAATGTATGGAGATGTTTACTTTGGCGAAATTTTGATCCTACTTTCAGCCTTATTATTTTCATTCAATACCTATTTTGATACTCTGAAACCTACCTCTTTTGATTCTATTTAACCCGAGTCGAAATTTTAATCCTACTTTCAGCCTTATTATCTCATTCAACATCTATTTTGACGCTAAAGTGAAAAGAGAAATTTCGGACATCAGAGTCAAAATAGGAGTAAATTGTATCATCAGAATTAAACCTAATTTGCTAACTCAGCTTCTTGCGTTGTAGAATTCAAGATTTAACATAGAGCCAAAATTTCAACTCGAGGAGTTTACATAAGAGAAAAAAAAGTTTATGATAGCCTCCCAGCTCAACTACATTATTGTGATAGCCAAAGTAACTGAGTCACATTCAATTATACGCGTTATCGTCACACAAAGATAACTAGGATGACGCAACTGTGCCATTCGTAATTGAATATTTCTGGTATATGCGCACCGTGTCTTTTTTTTCGTACATTGAAATATTATGTCTGACTATTCAGTTATAAGTATAGCACTGCGGTCAATAAAATCACTAAAAGAGTCTGTTAACAGTAGCGACTGTTAACGTTAATCATGGAATTTGCGAACGCAGACAGTGCCATCGCATGCAAATTGTATGAAAGTCATTTGGGATTCTATCACCACGAACATGGAAAATTGGGTTTCATACGTAGCGAAATTGCGTACTGCAGATCTTGCGGTGAAATCTTACTCTAACTAC